ATTCTTTCTATTTTTCATTTTAGATTACTTGGATTTAATTGTTCAAATTTAGCTCTTCATGTGTCTCTCCCACGATTTTTGTATCACCAACGATTATATATACACTAAGCATTAGATACTTACATCCAACAAGCGTATATATGCACCTTAATACGTCAAAAGAAAATAAATGAATGATTGTATTAATCTTAACTTAAGAGGTTAAGATTGACACTTTCTTATTACGAATTTTTTTCGCATCTTTTTTGCATTGTGTTGGATTTATTTGGACATGTAAGATAGAAAATCATCCATGTCATGTCATGTCATGAATGATAGCGCATTGCTTATAATTCTTTTGGATCATTCATGTCATGAGAGGAAAGGAAATGCATGAGAATTATGGTAAGCGTTGAGCTACCCTTATCATGTTTAAGCATATATGTTTATCGGGTTTTTCTAATGGATGTCTAATGGGTACTCGTTAGTATACTAGATCACACCTAACTTATTATACGAATTCACATACTAATAATTATTATTCTATCTTGCATTTATATGCCTTTTTTCTGGTTAATATTATTTTTTAAAATATAAACACTTGAAATTCATCTTAACAAGTGTCCGATGGACACCCATTAAACAGACCTTATGTTTTTATTCTGGGGTCGATTAATCTATCTCCCTCACCTCCTCATGCATCAAAAGCTAAAGAAATGGAGATTGTGTTAATTAGTAAAATCTACCAAATTAACTTTTCTTTCTTTTTTGAGGTTTAATTTACCTCAGCCAACAATGGCAACCTTAGTCTTCTTGGAGAAGGTTAGGAAAATTAACTTGACTTGACTAGTAGTATTATATGAATTAATGTCCATTTAGATCCCTTTTTTGTTTTTAAGAAAAACCAATTTCCTATAGACTTAGTGTAGACTACGGATCACTGGCAATTAATTTTTAAGCGCAAGAAACAGTTTCCGAGGAAGAAAAGAATGACTAAATTTACCAACATATAATTTTCCATCATGTGCTAAATGTGAACTCGTAGCTTGACTCTTTCCTATCTTTACGTTTCTAACTCACTTGGGATCCACGAGCAATAGTTGGGGACGCTTTTCCTTGAGCGTTAAGCATGACGCTTTTGCTCCAACTTATGCGGACAGCGGGTTGCTGTGACTGTAAACTCATGTTTAATCTAATTGGATCCTTTAATTAATTTATTGAGTCAAATATCTTCGTAGAACTCAAAAATCGAGGAAATTAATCACAAAACTTAGAAACCTATGGTTAAAGAATTCGAGTATAGTCTCTACAGAGGGCTTATATGACCTGTTATTAATCTTCATCACGTGTGACACTAAATGAACTTTATACTTTGCAAATAATTTCTGTGTTACCTTACTAAAAATACTTAGACGTATTTATGTATTTATATTTACAATCACAATTTCTGAACTTCTGTAGTTGATGTCTCTTTCATTTTTCTTTTCTTTCTTTTTTTTTTTGGTTAAAATTCAGAGTTAATCTTATAGAGACTGACAGTGTATACACTATCACAGTTGAATGCATTACACATATGCAAAATTTGAGTTTCGAATTCAAATTTAGATTGTGTGTTATGCATCTAACGATGAAAGTGTATATACACTGTCTGTCAGTGTATAGAAGATTAATTCTAAAATCTAAATCTCAGTTTCCAACAAAAAAAAATCTGTTTGAGAATTAAATTTAAAAAAAAAACTCATCTGTCAAGCTTTAGTAAATTCAAGACCTTGTTCTTGCTTGAGTTGCTCCCTCACCAAATCACGTACACCAATTGATGGAGTTGATACTATTATGGCTGAATATCACCTATATGCACACCGTGGATATTTGAAGATATTTGGAGGAAATTTCTTGATTGCTAATTTTCACATATCGTGTTTTGTTGGTAATGTACAATGTTTGTGAATTTTATTACACGTTAATTGATCTTTTTTTTTCCCCCGACATCTTTTTTTTTCATTTTTTTCTCCCTTTTTTCCAACCATGTGAGAAAGACCATGAGTTTTCTCACCATTTTCATGGACTTTCTTTTTTGGGAACAAAATTTGGATCCCTATCCCATAGGTACTTTCGAATACTAATTGCTAATTTAAGGGAAACAAAAATCTTAACCATATCAACAGACCACCGTCAAATTGATGTTAATCCTGGGACTAAAGTGGCAAAAAATGCATTCTTGATCCTTATGTTTTGTTTTGTTTTATAGCTAAAAAAGACTATTTTGTCAAAATAGAAGCTTTTTTTTTTTTTTTTTTTTTTGAGTTTTAATCCTTAAGTGAAGGGAAGTAGGAAAAGAGTCAAGAATTTCAGTGTCGCCTTGGTAGCATATTTGCCGAGTGAGCTGGGTCTTGGGTAGGGGTGCAAACGAACCGAACCAAATCGAGTTTCAATCTAATCGAACCAAATCTCAGTATAATTTTACGAAACTTGAACTCGAATTTGAGCTTGACGAGATCAAAATGTCAAGCTCGAGCTCAAACTTAAAAAAATAAAAAAAAATTATTTTATTTTTAAAAAATAAATAAAATAATAATTTTTTAATAAATAATAAAATATTAAGGATATATATATATGTAATTTTACTATTAAAATAATATATATATATATATATATATATATAATCGAGCTCCAGTCATCTCGCGAGATAACGAATTTAGTATTTTTGAACTCGAATTCGATCTCGACTTGAGTTCGATGTTGACCGAACTTGAGTCGAGTTCAGACTCGAACCACTTGCGACCCGATTCATTTGCAGTCCGAGTCTTGGGAACCACTACCTTTTCTTTTCCTTCTACTGAAACAAAATATAGTCCACAAGCATATAACGGACGCTTCTCTAAGCTGTGTGAGTGGCTTTCACTGCTTTTAATAGAATGAATGATTGGTGGAAACCCCGAGCCAGAGCCAGAGCCAGGAGTAAACTCCTTGAAATTCAATGGAAAAAAACAAAAAAGGTTGTATTCTTTAAGCTCAGCAAATAGCTGCAATCTTACTTGAGGGCCCTTAGCACGATGTAAGCATTAGGAAGAATAGCAGATTAAGAGTTTTAATAGCTTTGCTGATGGAGCTCGTATAATCAGAGATGATGTTTTATGGACCCTTTTATTTGTAGACTGGGATCTGCTGCATAAGGCCTGTTGGCAGAAAAGTTACATGGTACAAACAGATTTTCCAAGTTTGCGACGACATAAATGTACACATAAGCATATATTTCTTGTCAAAGCAATACATCCTGAATGATTTACAATCACATATACCTGCTATACTGTGCTTTAAGCAGTTAACTTCGTCTAAGCCACAAAGATTAGGCACTGGTCAAGCATGCATTTACGTGGGTATTATTTGAATGGGACTACACATGCCTCAGAATACCAGACATTCTCTTTATTCTTGTGGATGGTTTTGAATTGTCATTGTGCCTTAATACTATATCGATGACAAATTAACTTCAAGAGACTTTAAGAAGACAACTACCACCTTGTTTGTTGGATTTTTGCATTCCAGCCATAGACTCACCTATCACGTATTTATTCTTCCTATGCCCCCAGCAGCCCCACTCATTTTCTGCCTCTATATCAGCTGAATTGCCTTCAGTATGGGCAACAGAGTACTCATGATGAAGTCTGTCCAAATGGAGCAGCAACAAAGCTCTAGCAGTGACTCTGATGGCACTGATCAAGCTCGTGGTTATAGTATTATAGTTCCAGGGAACCTCATTGCAACAACAGATGGCTTTGAAAAGAAAGAGCATTCATGGTAACGACCCTAGGATCTCATTGAAGCTCAAGATTGGTAACCATTATAATCCTCTAGTTTGTCTAGGAGTATGAATGAACCAATAGTTCCTGCTACAAAAAGTTTTTTTTTTGTTTTTCCAATCTCTGGCAATTATGTTAACTTGTGCAGGTTTGCTCTCTCTCCAATTCCATCAGATCTATCTATTCAGGTTGAAGACATCACCTTTTGTGTTCACAAGGTAACATGAGACAAAACCAAACTTATCAGTTTTGCTTTGAATCCTTTCAGTAAAATGCTTCACTGGTAATGAAAATCGAATTCACAGCAGAATGATAACTAAACTGGCGAAGTTTTGTAACCTACAACGCAGTGTACAAGATCAGGGAAAGTGCAAGGTTCAATTAAACAGCCATTTTCAAACTATGTGCAATATTATTCCTGCACCTTGTTTCTAAATTTAGAAATACACAAAATAATCAAGTAATGCTACAGCATTTGTAAATGTCTTCTTTTGTTTCACCATGCAGTTTATACCACCTATGTCATTTTGCTAAATGTTCTCTTTTTACTTCTCCAGTTTCCAAAGCATCTACATAATCAGAGATGCTCCTATAGAAAGGTTAATTGCACAAAAGGGAGGGCAAAAAGAGGAAAGAAGAATCTGAAATATGGAGAGACAACTTGCATAATAAATATACTTAAAAACAGTTTTAAGAGAGACTGCAGCTGAATGAAGGTTTTGATAACTGAAAATAACCAGAGAGCTCTTGCATGTAAAGGTAGTAAACCTTGATGAGGAATATCTATAAACATACAACTAAATGACTCGAAAAAATCTTACATTTTACCTACAAATGAAACAGTCTAAAACTATGTTTCTGTACTAATGGCAACCGAGTACACCATACATGTGTACAATGTAGACATTTTAGTAATTAGACTATATCTCAATTAAGTTGTGCTTTCATGAGGAACAACCATTTCATCTTACTTATCCTCCTGGAACAGTATCCTTTAGTCGCAAGGTGTGGCTACCTAAATAGACTCGAACTCGAGCCTTCAAATCCAGATTTAGGTTATGATCTCAAACTCGAAAACTTTCCAGGTGGATCAGAAACATTTGAACTCGTCCTGAAATTCTGTTATGACCTGCCAATAGGCTTAAACCCCAATAATGTAGCAGCACTAAGATGTGCTTCAGAATTTCTGGAGATGACTGAATCACTAGAAGATGGAAATCTCATCTCCAAGACTGAAGCTTTCTTTACGTTTGTGGTCCTTTCTTTATGGAGAGACTCAGTCACTGTCCTCAAATCATGTGAAAAGCTGTCTCCATGGGGTGAAAACCTTCAGATTGTTCGAAGATGTTGCGACTCAATTTCATGGAAAGTATCTCGAGAAAACTCAGCCACAGTGGAGAACATCAGTGAAGAAGATTGGTGGTTTGAGGATGTGGCTACTCTTCGCATTGATCACTTCATAAGGATCATAGTAGCCATAAGAGCAAAAGGGACAAAATCAGAAAGTATAGGTTCATGTATCATGCGATACGCAGAAAAATGGTTGCCAGATATAGATGCAGGTAAAGCAATAAAAAGACGTGGATATAGTCAAAATGAGGTACAATGGAGTGTCACAACTGGCAAGAGCCTGGAAGGGGTCATTGGACAGAATAAGGAGCATAGAATGATCATAGAGAGTCTAGTAAGTATACTGCCACCTCAGAAGGAAGCTGTTTCTTGCAAGTTCCTTCTGTGGATATTGAAGATGGCCCTAGTGTTTTCAATATCCCCAGCTTTAATCTCAGAGCTCGAGAAAAGAGTTGGAATGGTTTTGGAAAAAGCAAATGTGAATGATCTGCTGATACCAACTTATACAGTAGGAGATCAAGGGAAGATGGTAAAGTGAGTTCCAACCTTCTCTTTAGCTCAACTTCAAGATTTAATTGTCTAAGAAGATGTCTATATAGTACTTCCAAACCCTTTTTCAAAAGTATACTTTCCAAGTAAAATGATAAGTTCCTCTAAATGTTCCCCACATTATGTTGGTTACCCAGGATGACCAATGACTGGACAATGCACAACATAGACGTTGTCCAAAGGATTTTGGAGTACTTCTTGATATATGAACAGCAGCAGCAGCTGCTGCTGCAACAAAATCCAGGGACATTGACTGTTGGCAAACTCCTTGACAACTATCTAGCAGAAGTTGCAAGAGATCCCAATCTCTCCATCTCTAAGTTTCAAGTTTTAGCTGAATCTTTGCCTGAAAATGCTCGAACATGTGATGATGGTCTCTATAGAGCCATTGATACTTATCTCAAGGTTATCAGTCTACCTTTTCCAATTCTAAATCCATTATATTTCCATAAAATATATTACCATATTTGAGACACTAACAATCTGGTTTCCTACAGACTCATACTTCACTATCAGAACAAGACCGCAGAAGGCTAGGCAAAATCATGAACTGTGAGAAGCTGTCAATTGACGCATGTATGCATGCAGCACAAAATGACAGGCTGCCCCTACGAACTGTAATCCAGGTAACTGCAGTAAATAATCTGGAAAAGACATTGTTATGGCAGCACCCAGCCTCTAGGCAAATGGCATAATGAGCCTTTTGTGCTGTAAAATGCACCTAATTTTTTAAGATACAAGCACATATCTTAATCTCATCATGACTCTTTACATATCTGAAAATTTCAGCTTCATATGACAGGACTTAGTTAAATAGTTAGACATTTAACAAAGATATGAGAAACTGATAGGAAGCTCAGTTTTCCAGGCAAGGCTGCAAGCAATCTAATTTGTGCTAAAATCTTGACAACTATAAAAACTTATCGGTTTTTACTGTTCAGGCATGTCATTTTATCAACACAAAGAAAGCTGACATTTTAAGTGAAAGAGGAAAAATTAAGCAGTTGAAGAAGTATTTTGAATAATCTCTTCAATTTGATCAGAAGAATCATCTCATAAGCTGTTATGTCGTTCTCATCATCTCATAAGCTATTATGTTGCCTTTTTTTTTCAAGGTTTGGCATCAATAGATAATTTTCTAAATTTTGTTCATAGCTACACGTGGGTGTCTTGCACTAGATTTCTAACTCAGTAATAAAAAATATAAACTTAAAAGACCTGCACTGCTGCACGCCTCATAACATATATCATGATTGAAGCAAAACTCTTGATACATCTTGATACAAAGGTACTAAAGTATGATGGTAAATGACAAGGATAATGTCCAGGTACTTATGAAAACCTTTAATATGTTTCAGAAGATAATATGAGTGCTAGTGAAGGAAAGAATGGGTATCTTTATGACAAGCCAATAAACAACCATGTTTTCTTCTAAGATTTTGTGCTTACTTAGAAGAACATCTCTGACCTTGCAAAGTGACATAAATACAGGTTTTGTTCTCAGAACAGGTAAAGATGAGGGATATAATACAAGGAAAGGATAACTGTGATGATAACCCTGATCAAGATGGAAGCTGGCTATGTACAAAGAAGGAAGTCAACACTCTCAAAGCAGAATTAGATATAGTAAAGGCCAAAATGGAAGAATTGCAGACGGACTATTTTGAGTTGCAGCAAGAATATGAAAAACTAAATAACAAACACAAGAGCTTATCAAGTTGGACATTTAAATGGATGAAAATTAAAAAGTCTTCTCTTGCCCAGGCCAAAACTGTTGAGGAAGAAGCTGATGACGGCCACCCTAGATCACACTCAGGCCATAAAACCAAGTTCCACAGGAGGGTATCAATTTCCTAAAGTTCCCCCTACCTAAGATCCGAAAGCTTTCTGAACTCGTTGTAGAAGACAGTAGCAGTTAAGTTTTGGATAAAATGGGCTAGTTGGAGCCTGTTCACGTGCTGTGAGTTTTTTTTTTTTAAAACCTCATTTCTCTTTCATAGACATGGCTTATATGTTTGTGCAAATGTGTAAGAAATTTTAGTCATTCCTCTGGAACACATGAACAAAATATAACCTTCCAGTCCTTGTAGTAAGCAACTAAGTCTCGATAACATGAAAGACACATTTCAAACATGTAATCCTTTGAGCCACGAATAACATACATTTGCGATCAGAGTGCAGCTTCTCTGTCAACATACTTTCTAATGATTGCAGATCTATAATCCTCTACAAACCAGATGAAGTAAAAATTTCCTAGAGGAAACCAAAGAACAACTATCTGTGCATTAATTTCTCAATAAGCACAGAATTAACCAACTCATGGCTTGTCAATGGCTTGCAAAGCAAAAGCAGTAAAAGACAATGAGTATGCACATGCTATCAATTATCAACCTCCAACAGTTCAAAGCAAATATTATGTTTAGTGGTTGAAGGAAAACATCACAATCCGGTAGAGCAGAGCTTGATAACATCAGTGATGTCAATCAAAAAAAGTTAGCAAAATTCAGGTATTAACAACACTATTGGCCAAAAAAAGATTCCAGCTGCCTGTATACTCGTATTAATACTACATCGTCATCTTTCATCATTAACCTTGTTGAAGCTAATAAAGCTAAAAAGCTAACTTATCAACCCAGCCACATAAATAGCACCAATTCTCATCTCGCATTTCAAAAACTAAATGTTCCAAATTCTACATAGCAATCGACTTCATACTTGATCACCAAAATGCTAATTCTCAAATTTGACAGCAGAATATTTTGAATTCTACCTAGCAAAGGACTTCATATTGCTCCACGGGAACTTGGCAGCCGCTGCACCAGTACTACCCCCACCACCAGGACCATCACGACTATGGCCACCACGACGAGGGGATCCGAACCTCTCTTGCCTGAACCCATTGGACCTATCTTTCCTCTCATCAAGCCAATGTGGAGTCCTGGGCTCACCATCCTCCAACATGCTTGATTTTTTCGAGGGCTTAGCCATGTTCTTCTTGTCCTCCTCAATCATTCTAATGGGATACACATCAGGTGAAATTGATAAAGGATTTTTCAGGGTCACATAAGCCTTCTTGTAATCTGGTTTCGCAATCAACAGCCCACCTCTCTTCTTCTTCTTTCCATCCATATTCAAAGTCCTCACTTTGTCAACCTCAAAACCATAAAGGGACTCTAAAACCCTCTTTATCTCAATCTACATGGAAAAAAAAACCCCACCAGATTAATATGAGAAAAAATGAATAAAAATTCAAACTTTAGTACAAATCAAGAAAAGATATATCCCATCTTGAGGTGGAGAAAAGTACATACCTTGGAGGCAGAAGGGATGGTTTTGAGGGCAATTTCCCTAATATTGGAGAAAGAGGAGGGCATGAGGAGCTTAATTGGTAGGTTTGCAAAGTGTACTACTCTTCTTCCCAATCTACTTGCCATCTTTATGCTTCTGTGCGCGTTTGGGAGTGTGAAAGTGTGTATTTCTGCAGTGATTTTGAGATCGTTCAGAGGTTTTCTGATCTCTACTTAAAATGATCAGTGGAAGGAGAAAGAAAGGGTTAGCTGTTGGGCCGGGTCGAATTTTGTTGGCTCACTTTTATTGGTTAGCCGTGATTTTGTGGATGCAGCCCAACCACCAGCTCCCTCAAGGTGTCGGATTTGCCAAATTGGATTTTAACATAATTTACAGATGCCTCAAAAAAATAATTAAAAAAAGAGAGAGACTCCATGATCGTATCGTTTCGTGTTTTGATCTTTTGATTTCTAAAATCAATTACTTTACTGAGAATAAACGGAGTTAAAGTCGAAATTATTTGTTTATTTGGCTCAACTTCAAGATTGTAAGCATGATTACATATAAAAAATAATTTTCCACAAAAAAAAAAGTTGTAGAAAAACAAATGACGTCAAAACACAGTGTTGGGGTGTTATACATTAGTTGCAAACAAATCAGTGTGTGTAAATAAGGTGTAAATAATGTGTGGTTCTTACTATTAAAATCACCAAAACAAAGGCAGTTCTATTGCTAATGCTACCAAAAAGATGTACGGCGTACATTGCTCATTAACACAGGACATTAGTCTTTTTGTCGGTACAGTTTCATATGCCAAAGCTTACATTTCATGTTCAGTTCCAAACCAAGAGAATGTTCCTCTTATGAGGCCCTTTTACTATCCCCCAGATAAAAATAATGATAATAACCTGATAGTACATTGTAACAAGTAACAAGACGAAAAGAAGGGCAACCAGAAATGTGAATAGCATGCAGTGGTAGCTCTAGCATTTGCATCTTTGCATCTTCTCTTTGCACCTGATAATTTGCATCTTTGCAGATTATCTTTATATCGTCCTCTAAGATAATAAAGAACAGAGTCCAGCTACATTTGATTGACACTTGACACCGGATGAATTTGACTAACAAGAACAAACTCAGTACGCTATCCAAAGCGAGGAAGGCTCCTAAAAAATGCCAGCATATTTCCTCACTCATTAACTGATGTTAATGCAAGTAAAACCAATCGGCATAGTATACTATCTCCCACATAGCAGTTCATAACATCTCATGCCTCCTTTGCTTTGACTCTGTATGGGTACTTCTGGTAGACTGATACGCTGGTAATCACCAGTGGTAATGCCACAAGACAGTACAAGGAAGGTGGTTTGCCATCAAAGACAAACTGTAACAGAGCAGTGACGAGAAGTGCAGAAACAATGACAAATCCCTGCAGGCATTTTGGACAAGACAAGACAAGACATTAAACGCTTAAACTGCGTGCAAGAGGCAAAGAAAAGAAGGAGATGGAAGCAGGCAACAGGAAAAGAAATATGGGTATCAAAGGCGAGACACTTTCCTCAATCACAGGAAAATAATATTGGTATGCTCTAGACCGTGACAATACACCTATAAACTACTTTATCCAATTGCAAGTAATGCTCATCTTAATAGATATTTCACACTAATTTCCCGAAAAAACACCAAGAGTTGAGATAATACCTAATAACAAAACCCAAAACTCAATTGCCAGGAAACATATCATCAATTGAGTAAATGTATTTTCTTTTTTTTCTGATTTATCCTGAAAAAGGCTTGTTATCTCAAGTTTATGGCTGGCCAGGCTGCTAGCTACCATGTCGACCTTTCTAGAACTAGTTATTTTGGCATCTATAGATGTAGAACTAGGCAGATGAAATAGCAATTGGTGATGGTACACTAAAACAAAAGCCTTCAACTACAGACAGCCAACCAATTACTAGAAAAGCATCCCACCATATCAGTTCACCCCAAAATATTCTTCTTCCTCTACCCCAGGATTCCTGCATATGTACCTTTATTGATTGGCCTATATTCTTGCACTCCAAAGCCTATATTTCTTGAAATTAGGCGTCCAAAATTTCTAGGGTATACTTCAAGTTTTTGATGGATTAGCCTATTGCAAATGGAAAACAAGTATTTATTAGAACAGCATGATTTAAATACTGTCTGCTCCACCCTAACAAATAGTAAAAGTTAAGGGGCAAGACTTGCCTTTCGTACACCACCAGCATAAGATGTCACAAGGCCAACTAGAATCCCACCAACAGCATTGAATATCACAGGGATCTGAATAAAAGACAAAAAGCATGAGAATTTGAAGTATTCAAACACCATCAAATGGCTTGCCTCAAACATCCAAGTCTATCATCAGATGCATAAATCCCAAATGTTTTATGTTAACAAACAAAAGCGTATCCTACAATTAACCCTGTTTATCCTCAAAGTGGTTATTTATCTATGAAAAGATCTATATATTAATGCCTTAATAACAAAACTTCAGAAGATAGCCTACTGGAAGGAATCGGCAACTCCAATAATACGAGGATAGTCATTCACTGAGTAAATAAGCAGAAAAAGATACTGACCAATTTATAATTCAAAACATGAGGAATTAATTCATTTGACTATTAGTGTCCCATGGACAACTTCCTATGCATAGTCAGAATAAACAAAGTCACAAAAGTAGAATGGCTTCAAATTACTGCGCATAACTGAAGTACAAGACAGCACATCTGGCTCAAACCTTAGAAGCACATATGCAAATGTGATATATGTGAAATGTGTATTTGAATGTATTGCTTATCTAATGGGAGCTTGTTACAATGCAGTGAATGAATCAAATTGACAGAGATAAATTTTGGTCATCAAAGCGTTTCTTTCTAATGATTTTTCCTCCTCACTGGTATAGGAAACTCAAACAAGGTACTGATTTCAGCAGAATTACAATTTTACCCTCAGGCCACTTTAACATGATTCAGTGTCCAAGAATAAGAATTAGCAAGTATAGTTACCAAAGTCAATGGAGTCCAGCCATAAAAAAAGCCATGTTGTCTGACGGCTTCTCCATCAGGAGACTTGTAAAAACTAGCCATCAAGCACAAGCTTCCAATAATAGACATCTCTACTGTCATCAAGTATGAGGTGTGTTTCTTAACCTGTTACAGGGACAGGAAGCAAACAAAGTGGATCATTATTCATTATAGTGTATAATGTAATTAGCTAGCACTTCAACCATCTATCTTCCGTTATTAAAAACTTTTGCCTACCTGAGATGCCCACTGACACAAAGCAGAAGCAAGACCAGATAGTACAGAAGCTACCAACACTGGAATGATTCCACGGAATAGAATTTCTTCAGGATTGCTACTGCTTGAAGCTTTGCTGGAACCTTCACCAACACTTAAAAGGACAGCTGCAAGTATTAACAAGAAAAGAGCCCCAATTTGCTGGATTGATTGCTTTTGCCTGTAAAACAAAATCAGAAAACACAGCTGAAAGGATTAGAAATCTCAATCGAGCATCAATACTGGCAAGTCTGCAACTGCCTGCTAATTTAGCTACCCAAAATGCAGTTCAGAACCATGGAGAGAATCCTAATATTGGCACATTAACATAGCAGAAATCAAGAATTTGCCCAAAAAAAAAACCATTTCAAATAAGAAGCAGCCACTAACACATTGATATCTAAGATAGGCAATTTATGAGGAACATAAAAAGAAAACTAACACTGACAACGGTAGCAGCATAAAATGATCACTCCTCCTAGGCATATCCATAAATCATAAATGACTGCCAACTACAGAAAAATAGTGTTCAACAAAGAATGACAGCATCTCCAGTCAACACTATCCCATGTTACTCCAAAAAAATCAGAGAATGATGGCACAAGTTCTTCAATAAGCATCCAGGTGCCAAAAACTAACTTCAAGAGGAGATTCAGAAAATTGCTATAACTCTCTCATAAGCCATCTATTTTAAAAGTAAAAGCCTTATACAGAAATGAGCTGCATACCTCAATATCATATACGTGAAAAAAGCAGTGAAAAAAAGTTTGGTTTGGTTCAGCATTGAGAACGTCAAAGAATCAAGGTTTCTGTATGATATCTGCAACAAGCTATTTTGCAGTGCATATATGGCCGCTGGTAGTCCTGATGCAGTCAAAGAGCCAACTAAAGTCCACTCCTTGAATAGTTTCTTCAAAGTACCATCTTTTGCCATAAGAAGAAGAGCACAAATCACCTATGAAGCATTTATAAAGAAGTAAGTTTTCAACAGAAACACAACCATAAAATTAAAGAATGAAGTGCATAAGGCAGATGAATTACCTTCACCACCTCGCATGTCAAAACTAAAGAAGTAACAATCACTTCTCTCCTGAGGAAAAACTATTCAAAATTATATTCAAATACTGGAAAAGTACCCTATGCCGACATATGATAAATACACTGTCCTCTAGATGGTAATAACTGATAAATGAATCAAAACCTGTCATTTTGACTAATAAAAATTCGAATTCACATAGTTCGTGTTGTATAACTCAGTTTCAATTTAGTGATTCCGCATCTTGGTATAAGCAACATGTTTGAATAACATACAATGGAAGTGTAAATTGCTGGAGGTAATTTGGTTAGCTGTCATTAATATAACTATCCATAGGATTACACTGATATCCATGATGGGCAATATAGCTCACTGTTTGTTCTCTTGCTCGAGCTCCAGGAGTAGCAGACAAAACATCGTATTTCCACACAGGAAACATCATCGTATTCAATCATCCACAATGCAGTGCAAGGGATGGTTCTTCAATCGGATTTGTATTCTTGAATAGCAATCACTAACTCTGTTGAACTTCTGAATGAACAACTTTAGCACGAGGCACAGGCTGCTTAAACTTTCACCAATTCCCATCTCAAACTAACACCAGTAGTTGTTCCGACTTCCGAGTACTAAACCTAACAGCAAACTGGAGTGAAAGCTGGTAAAAAGTAAGACTCTAACTCTGTATGAAAATGGATAAATGGAGGCAAAAGCTTTCCTTGCTTCATTAAGTTGAGGAACATGCAGTGCCCGCCATGAGACAAACGCCATTCGCATTTGTGTATACAGATGCTTCCACGTATTCGTACATAGACAGCTTTCTTTTTGACGGTTTACTATACTGTACTAGACAAAGACTCAAGATTTCTAGCACAAGGTAGCAATGCATAGATATATAACATTACTTCTTAGGATTGACAAATTTTTTTATTTGCAATACTAATTAATTGCCGGCTATTAC